ATATGGGGGAAAGAGCCCAAAGCATTTAGAGAGTTTAAGGATGATATTGCAGGCTCCAACATTTCCTGGCGCTTTTTGTTGCCACACAAAGTAGCATTCCGCTTAGATGGTCTGAAATTGAGTGCATTCATGTTGTAAATGCATAAATTGTCTTGCTTCGACTTGATTGATATTTCTTCAGTCGTGGTATGCAAACCAAAGACATTGCATTCAGAATTTGAACTCCCGATTAGGCTTGCCTGGCACGATGATGCAATTGCCAAACCATCCAAACAATTAACCCCATCAACATTTGGTATCTCCATCTTGTATACTCCATTCTTACCAGTTGTTCTATTCACCGAGAAGTTTATCTCCTCCGCCGTTTTTGGGGAATGAGCTTTGAATTTGCATCGAATGTTAACTTCTGCGCCTGATCAGTAAAATCCATAGGCAAACAAATGGCTTTCAACTTAAAAGAAAGAGAAACAAAGAAACAAAATCGACTCTGTAATTCAGGCCTAATTCAATTGACAATAAGGGTCCTCCCTTTATCAATTTAAGTTTGGTTATTATAATATTTTGAAGTAAAACTGTAAATTCAATGATTCCATATATCATGTATGGGAACATATTGTGCTTATGAAAAATTAAGCAAGGCGATAGATGTAGGAAAGTGAAATATAGAATTTACTACACAAGATGGATAAATCTGACTCTCTAATGGGAAATTTATAAAACTTATAATGTATTTTCAATCTGAATCTCAATCCCGACAACAAAGTGAAAAGCAACAACCGAGACGTAATTCCAGTTCAAGAAATGCAGAGATACATATATACATATATCTATGGACCCTGACTTTTCTTACGAATTAAAAAAGCTTTACAATGGTGTAGAATTTGTAATTAATACCTGGCAAGAAGTAACTGTGTCTGGAAAAGCTGTTGCTGGAGCAAGTATCGCAATAGACAACGCCGACCACCGTGATCCGGGAGGATTCCGGCCGCTTTTCAGACTGAGCCATCTTGTGCTCAGCGAGAGCTGCAAGGAGGAGGAAGGCGAGAATGCTGATTGACCCCATGGAAGAAGCAGACATGGGAGAAGTACAGAGAAGCTTCTGTAAAACCTTAATAGACTACATGTATATATATATATATATTATAAAGGTTGAAAGTGTATAAAGAGATAAAGACGAAGCAAATATGAACCCGTGAGTAGTTTGGTGCCATGACTCACTGTAACCAGCGAGGTCGAAAATGGTTAATCTATTCGCTAAAGACAGAGACATGTGAAGAGGGGTTTTGGAAGCTAGTGAAGACACTGGGGAGAGATAGATTGACAGGTGGTAGGGATTGATTTGGAGGAAGAGCGGGTACAGATTTCCGCCATTGGAAAAGAAAAGTGGCAGAGTGGTGACAGAAGAAGATCGGGATTTCCTTAAGTTAACAATCAAGTAAAATAATAATTAGTGAATAGATTTACTATTAAATAAAAAATAATTTGTTATATTATTTTATTATTTTCCTTTATTTTCATGATGAATAATGATTGAATATTATATCGTTTTAATATTTTAATTAATAATTTCTTTTTCTAATTTTATTGGAAAAAATTTATTTTATTTAATTGTATTGTATATTTTAAATTAAAATGATTAGAGTTATCATAGAATAATTAAGAAAAAATATATTTATTAATACTTTATTTTCTAAATTAATATATAGTTTGTCTGGGCTATGTGTATGTCCATGTTCGTAAGGGCCATCATGGAGGGAGGCCCATTAATTGAATAGGAGAAACGCATTTGATTACCCACAATATTTTAAATAAAAATAAATATATAACTAATATACATAATCAGCAATTCATAATTTTTATAAAAAAATTATATAATATTCAGTTAAAAAATAATAAGTAATTATAATAATTAATTCACTTAGTAAGTGTAATTATAAATTATATTCTATAAAAATCTTGAGTACAATACTTTACCCATGTGAGATAATTGCTAAAGACAATTGTTCATTTATTTCTGACCTAGCTAATTACTATATAAATGAGATTAACCAATAATATTAAGGATTTTAGGAGCTACAGGCAAACAGTTGACAATATAATAATGTTATTTTCGCACAAACTATTTCTAATCGAGTCAAAGTATGCTCCTGCATGTAATTGATGCATGTATGAATTTAAAAAAATATATAGACATAATGGGTCATATACTTTGTATAAATATATCATAGATAGAATTAATACACATAGAATAAAGTTATTATGTAAACTTTTACATGCTTGTGAAAGCATTGATTTCCAAGTGAATGAATTCAAAGCTGGGCTTACGAGTTTTTTCTTGGAGCTTTTGACTTAACATACATATCCAAGCATCTAAACAAAAGAGGCTTTGTGTAATACCCAGGCTCAGAAATTGACTGAGGATAAAAAATTTTCATTTATAAAAATATAAGTAATTAAAAAATTTTATTAATTTTTTGAAAAAAAAAAGAATTAGAGACAAAATTTAAAACAATTTTGAGAAAAATATGTGAAATTTTGAATTAAGTTGATTTTTTTGAAAAAAAAAATGCAAAAAAAAAAAGTTTAGCCACATGGGACGGCCCGGTCAGTATCCACGGCGAACCAGAGCACGCCGCGTGGCAACCACACTGACATCTGTGCCACGCAGGAGCCCACGTAAGCGATTCGCGTGCCTGGCGATCCAACGGTTCAGATCTCATCTTGCGTGCGTGAACGGTCCAGCTGCATTCCCTCTTTAGACGTGATCAGATGGATGAGATTAATCGCAGTGGATGGTCCATATTCATCCACGTAATCAGCTTAAATAGGAAATCATCAAACGACTCTCCTTGCTCCACATCGACGCAGATAGACGGCCACGATCAGAGGGAATAGAGGTATTTAAACCTCTCTTTAATCGGCCCTAAATCCTAGCCGACACCCAGCTGGAGGAGAATAAGAAGGAGCCAGTCGGAGGGAAGACTAGCAGCCGGAGGGACACTGCCACAGCCGCACCGAAGCCATCACTGAAAAAGGTAAATTTTTTTCTTCATGCTCGGAATTCAATTCTGAGTCTCCCTGTGGCCATATCAGAGCAAAAGGGACGACGGGTGAGCCAGAAACTGCAAGTAAAGCCCAGTTAGTATGAATATGAAATGTTATTATGAAATTGATGATTAATTGATGATATAGATATATGTATGAAAGGCTTATTGGGTACCTTAGAAATGGATGGACAAACCTGGTATATACGAAACCCTATTGTGGACATTACCTTAGCTGGATGGAGCTAAAAAGTCCCATACTAGAAGAATTTGAGAGATATGGTTCATTCTCGTATCGGACAGGGTATCGAGGTAATGGTGTGTTTGGCATCCATTACCGGATAGGTTATGGGGACGACCGGGTTAATTGACAAATCTAGATATTGGATTCATAAATAGAGGAATATCCATATGGACTCTCAGGGATTCCAGTAAGCAGGTTAAAAAGAGAATTGTTGATCTTGTTCATTTGTACATGAAACTGAAATGTTATATAGGGATTTGTCTCCATAGGTTGATTTTGGAAAAATCGTAATGGTAAGTATGGAATAAATATTTTAATATTAAATGAATTTATTTAAATTAAGAGCTCTATTAGTTGTTTTGTCATTTTTATCAATCTTTGATTTTTCGTATCAGTTATTAGTGTGATATTCTTATTGGGCTAGTGTAGCTCACCCATCTATTAACTATTTCAGATCAAGAAAACTAAGTTCCAAATTCCGATCATAAAAAAAGTTGTGAGTAGTTTACCTTCTGGACTCCCTTCAACTACTAGTGGAGGTTAACCCCTTAGAATATTTATTTATTTATTTTCAATAATATATTTACTTTTTTTTATGAATCTCTGTAGAAAGGATATTCTCATATCCCTATTAGGCATTTTAATTCAATTTGTAAGGAATGTAAACCTAACTTTATTATTTGCTTCCCTATTATAAATATAAATTCGTTCCCTTTAAGTTTTGAGTTTTTACAATTGGTATCAGAGTCGCACTTCTCGAAACCATTCCTTACACAAAGATGTAAAAATACTAGAATACAACCCGACAATAAACCCTCTCTTATAAAATGCAGGTACAAAGATATGAGGAGAGGAAGACCCCTACTAAATTGAGCAGCCTGCGATGAGTCATTTCGAGAGGATGTTGATCGACTCTTTGAGATGCTAGAAAGACTTATCTCCGCCCAACAGATCCAGAAGAAATGAGAGAGCTGTTTGACCCTCCATCCCTGCCACAGTTTGAGCCACCCCTGCAACAAGAAGATCCGGTGCCACCCCGATACAACCATGCTCCTCTCCCATATCATCCGACACCGCCACAATACAACCTGGTGTCCCCACCATACAACCAGGTGTCGCCACAGGGCCGCCCAACCCCTCCCCAGCATAATCCAGTCCCTCTTCCATGGGACCCAGTTCCACACATGATAGACCCAAGCTATATTGAGAAATACAAGAGACTGAGCTGAAATGATTAAATAAGGAATGAACTACACTAGCCCAGTAAAGACATCACGATATCTCACCGTCACGGAGGTAAAGGTGGGTAGAAAAACACAAAAAGACCAATGGAGCATAATTTACAACAAATCCTTTTATCAATAATAAAACCTTTACCATCCACTTACCTCGGTGAAATTCATAAAACAATATACGAAAGCAATAACATTATCATCATCATGAAATCATATGAACTGTATAACATAGTACTTATCACGCCTTTTGCAATTCAATCATTACACAACATAGTTTTCCTTATTTACCAGCCTACTAGTATCCATGGGGATCCATAAGGGTCCCGCTACTCGTTAACCCTTAATACTTGTAATCAGATTTCAGGGCCGTCCCCATACCCCGTCCGGTATGGGCGCCAAAACTATAAACCTCAATACCCCGTCCGGTATGAGGGTGAAACGGGCCGTCCCCATACCCCGTCCAGTATGGGTGCCAAAACACATAAGGTCTCCATACCCCGTCCGGTATGAGAGACCACAATCCCGGTAGGGTTCCCTACCGACCCGGTCCGTCTACCATCTCCCAGGATATCTAGTCAGGCTGACCACATTATACAATTATCAATTTACATAACCTTTCATTCCCCTTTTCCTCAGTCAGCATCATCAATTCACACACAGACAAGCAAACCAGTAATTCACGCCAAACAAGACAACATACAACATCGGGTTCTCAATCACATACAAACATGCAAACCGATAGTTCACGCTAACAAGACAACACATAACATCGGGTTTTCAGTCATTCAACCTATAATCAATAAAACAGTAAAATATGCACATGAAACTATGAAATGAAAACATCAAACCTCATACTGCATTTAAAACTGTAAAATAGGCCAAATAACAGTTAACCGACAAACACACTAGACTCGGGCTCCATTAGCGACCTTAAGCAATTTCACACATTCGTTGATTTAAGAAATACCGTTTTATCATTATTGAACTTTAATACCGTGATAGGAAATAGGGTGAGGGGTCCTTATTTGTTTCGGGGTCCGAACACGGCTTCACAGTGCGCCTACAGGCTATCCCTAATTTTCCCTGAATTTTTCCTGGGGAACTGAAATGCACTACTGGTACCTGCACATGTTCCAAAAAATCCCAAATTAGACTCAGGGTCCCTTTCGGCCAATATCGCAATTCCGGCATAGCGGCTTCGCTGTGCTCCGGCGACAACGCCGCCGCTTGCGGCGTCGATTTGCTTCGGGTTGGCCGTTTTCGGCCGTTTCCGGCCGAATTTGGACACACTTACATCGGTCCCTGTGATAAAACAACCCTAGGGCCCTCGAGGGGCCAAAAAATTACGAAAAATCAAAGCTTACCGGCGGCGGTGCTCTCGGGTGCGGCGGCTCTCCGGCGAGGTTCGTGTTTTGGTGATTTGGCTCTGATCAACCTGTAGAGAAAAGAATGGTGATCACGGTTATATAAAAATTGCATCAAACGGAGGCCGGGAAGGGCCTCATCGGAGGCAAAAATCGAGGAGGGGCACGGCGGCGCCGCTGGGTTTCGGCCGTGTTTTCCGACCGTTTGGCCGAGATTTTGGCCCCGATTTGGCCATAGGGGAACTCAGCGTGGAAAAACAAGCCAGGAGTATGAAATTTACCTCGATCGGCGGTCGAAAAACTCCCCGGTGCGGCAGCGGGTGGCGACGGCCGGCTCCTCCAGCGTCTGGTTCGTCTTCTCCGGCGAGGGCAGGTGGCTAGGGTTTTTGTGGTCAGGTGTGGGGTTCTATTTATACCCTTTTACCTTTTGATCTCAGCCGTCCATTTTGATTAAATCTGGACCGTCCGTTTTTTATTGAATCTGGGCCGTCCGTGCGCGTG